CCCCCACCTCATCCCCCTTGTTGTCCTCCTCCTTCTCGGTCCTTTCCCGCCTCGATCATCGATTTTCCTCTCCCTCCTACCCGATCGTCTGGGCCACTTCCCTCTTCCGCCTCCTCCTCCTCCTCTTCGTCCTCCTCTTCTTCCTCCTCCTCCTCCTCCTCCTCCTCCTCCTCGATCGTCCGGGCCCCTTCTCCATGCGGGCGATCGGGGGGTGCCGCCCCGCGCGCGAAGCCAGAGCGGCCCCCCCCCCGGAGGCCTCGCCTGCGCCTCTCCTCGGGCACCTGCGCCGCGCGCCTGGACCACGCCTGGCTCCCGTGCGTCAGGCGGCGGCCTCTCTCGCCTCTCGCGGCCCGGGGCGCCGCGGGATGGGGGTGGGGGAGGGTTGGGGAGAGGGACGGGAGGGGAAGGGAGGATGAGATGAGGGAGGAGGGGGGAGGATCAGGGAGGAGGGATGGGAGGAGGAGGGATGGGATGGGATGGGGGATCAGGAAGGAGGAGATGAGGGAGGAGGGAGGAGGGATGGGGAGAGGGACGGAAGGGGGAGGGAGGAGGAGATGAAGGAGGAGGATTAGGGTGGAGGTGGGAGCGAAATTGGCGTGGATGGAAAAGGAGGAGGAGGAGGAGGAGGAGGAGGAGGAGGAGGAGGAGGAGGGCGAGGGCATCGCGTCACGCCTCCTCTTGCTGTGTTCGCTCTTGTTCTGGGTTCTCGCTTTCAGACGCCACAACAATACTGCGGCACTCCATGGGGTTGAGGGTGTGGATTGGTGTAGAGGGTGAGGTGGACGAGCAGGAGAAGGAGGAGGAGAAGGAGGCGGAGGAGGAGGAGAAGGCGGATGAGGAGGAGGAGGGAGGCGGATGAGGAGGAGGAGGAGGAGGAGGAGGAGGGAGGAAAAGGGTTGCAGAGACAACGCCAAACGCCAGGTGGATACACGCCACGTCCCTTAACGACAAGGCCCTCACGCATCCGCTTCCCTCTGAGCTTTCTCCCCCCCCCCCCCCCTTTTCGTCCTCCTCCTCGTCCTCCTCCTCCTCCTCTTCCTCATCTCTTTCCTGCTCCTTCTCCTCTTCGAGCATCTTCCTTCCTCTCCACCGCCTACCCTTCTTACTCCCGCCCATCCGTCTTCTCTTCCTCCATCCCCCTGCCCCCTCCTCACGTATCTCCTCCTCCGACCTCGTCCTCATGTCCCTCTTCGTCCTCGTTCTCCTCCTCCTCCAGACCAGTGGACAGATGGCATGGCGCAGGGCAGCTCCTGGGCGGCGGGAGCCTGGTCACAGGGGCCCCGGCCCTCCAGGGCGGAGCAGCTGCCACGATCCCCATGACGGGGGTCTTGCCGGACAGCCCCTGGCGTGCACGTAGAGGACAGCAGTAAGCCGGGCCTGTCCCTCCACATGAGGAGTATTCCAACATAGTTCAAACATAGTCTGGGGACGATTGGATTGCAATCCTTCGTTGTTTTGCAATCCTTCGTTTTTGTTGCAATCCTCCTTTTTTTGCAATCCTTCGGAGAATTGTTCGACCATTTTGGGATGTCAGAGGCGCCGGGGGCAGCCGGGGAGGGCGGGGAAGGGCTCGATCTGAAGTGCGTTTCGGGTGGTTTCCGGCCGCAACTGATGGGCCTCTTTTCCACCACCACCATCGTAAGTTGGAGGGGGGACGGAGGTGAAGGAGGAGGAGGAGGAGGAGGAAGAAGGAGAAGAAGAAATAGAGGAGGAGGACCCCCTCCCCCTCCTACTTATGGCTTATGGTGGTGGTGGTGGTGGAAAACAAGTCCACCAGCAACAGCATCCGCTTCGAGCATTCTCGGGGGCGGCGGAGGGATGTCGTGGCCGTGGCCACGGTGTTCCCCCCGGGGGCCTGCATGGGCCGTGCACGTGCCTCGGGCAGCGATTTGTTGGACGCTTCCGTTTTGGAGCCCCCCGGTATATATATATATATATATATATGTATACATATGTATATATAAATACATACATACATACATACATACATACATACATACATACATACATACATACATACATACATACATACATACATACATACATACATACATACATATATATATATATATATGGTTGCCTTGTCAGAGGACTGGCAGCACTGTGCGACTGGTTGAAATCGGGCATGTCCCTCTACAGGAGGAGTACCCCAAATAGTTTCAAACACAGGCTGGCTACGACTTACCCTCTATTTCTATATATGAAAAGCATGTCTGGTCACGTCCAAAATCCGCCTGCGGGTGGACATGCCCGGCCTAAGCGTTGGACCGTTCGGCTGTCGCTGAGGGTCTGGGGAGCTCGGCGCCTCGTGGCGCGTTCAATGGGGACCCCTTGCCCCTGCGCCGCCAGCGTGGAGGCATCGGGGGCGCCCCTGGCGTTCGGCAGGCGGTCCTTCCCCGGCTTACGTTCTTCGGGAGGCCTCGCCCAGCCCCATGAATTGGTGTCTTCTCTTTGTGCCCGACGCGGATTTGGCGGTGGATCCGACGCGGACCTGACACGGATTCGACGCGGATCCGACATGTCCGACACGGATTCGACACGGATTCGACGCGGTTAGGGCCGCGACGAGACAGACACGGTCCCCCGAGGATGCAACATAACTTGGTCTGTCCTTTCTTTCAGCTCAATGGACTTCGCGTGTTGGGGTGACGACGAAGGTGGTTCCTCTGCCCTCTGATTTTGGAAGATCTGGTAAAAGTATTGACCACGAGGTCCACGTCGCAGTCCCTTCGGCTGCGACAGCAGTGACCAGATCGCCCGCTATCTCAATGCCTCTGTCAGTCGATATCTGCTTTACCTCACCAGAAATCCGTATCTGCTTTAGGCCTTGCGCACCCTGTCACACACCATACGCACATGCCCACGTGTTTGAACATAGGACCTTGATCAACTTATTCTCCTCAACCGTCCACCCCCTCCCGTTCACGCTCAGCCTTCTACGCCTTGTCTCCTCGCTGTGTTCCTCGTCTTCCTGATTTCTCACCTCCCTTGGATCAGTCTGATCTGCTGATCGGAGGACGGTCGATCAGTTTGGTCCGGAGCGTCGTGCAGTCCCCCGATATGCGCAGAATGAGGCGAAGAAGACGGCGAAGAAGGAGGATGAAACAGAAGATTGGCCGTGAGAGGAGGAGGAGGAGGAGGAGAACGTGGCCAGGAGACGTCCGTAGAATTTGTCCGAGGCGTAGGCGGTCAGTGTTGTGCTTCCTATTGTTATGGTGCCGGGTACCATGGATGATTTTAGGGCGTGGCAGTTCTTGTCAATGTTGAACCTTCGTGGCGGAGGGATTCTAGATTTGTCTACTGTCCGTCGGAGTCGCATCGCATCGAACTACATTGCGGGAAACGGAGTGCGATTTATTGCGCGGGTTAGAGTTTGCTAGCGTTCACGGACACTTATTCCAGAGCTTCCGCCCTTCTGTCGACCACGGTAGAGGCGTCGGGGGTGTCTTTGGCATTGTCTGGGGATTTTGTGTGGGCATCTTGGGAGCTGTTTGGGGGCCTGGCGGAGCTTCTTGAAAGCAATTCTGAAGCGTGCTGGGGACCGCTGAGGCTTCTGGGGGAGGAAGGAACGGATTCTCGGTTCGCATTCTCCCCCTTCGCCTCTCTTGGGGCCCTCTTGAGGGGATCTTTGGCCGTCTTGGGCCCCTGTTTGGGCCGTCTTGGAACCACCTTGGGCCGTCCCGGGGCCCTCGGGGGCGCCTCTTCGGCAGCTTTGGGGCGGTCTACCGGGCGAAACACCTAGGGAAAACCACTGAGTTTGGCCTCTCGGGGCCCTCTTGGGAAGGCTCCGTCTCGAAGGCGTCTTGTGGCGGCTTGGAGCCGTTGTAGGCGTCTTGGGCCAATCGTTCCGCTTTTCGGGGCGTCTTGGAGCGTCTTTGAAGCCCCGGAGGGCAGATTTGTGAGCTGCGGAGTCTCCAGGGGTGCGCCGAGGAGCCCGGATCACCCCCCCACCTCAAACGGCATTTGGGACGTTGGGGAGGGGGGTTCGGGGAAGGGGGACAGTCAATCATCTCGCACGCCTCATAAATCAGGCCATCGCAAACATGGATTAGGGAACCGTGGATTAGCGACGGGGCCCGTTTCCATGGCTACTCGCGGATTTCCGCCGCCGAGCGAGGCGGCATTAGCCGCGTTTTGGGGATGGCACCTCCCCCGATCCATGGATTTGGCGACCGCGCGCCAAATTCATGGATCGCTAATCCATGTTTGCGCGCCCCCGAACAAATCCAGGCAAGCAGGGGTTGGCGGATTCTCTTATGTGTTGCCGCCTCCGAGCAAGCAGGTCCCTCCCTGCCACCTGTTGGCGTGTCGGGGTCGTGGTCGCTCTGCGACAGAGTTGCCGTCTGCTCGCCTTGGTGACATGTGTGATGTTATTGCGATGCCAGGCTTGGATCTTTGAGGTTGTCTCTCGGGGGCCTCTTAGAAGCATCTTGGGCCGTCTTTGGGACCTCTTGCCAGCTCTTGGACTGCTCGTTTTGAGGACCTCCTTAGGCTCCACCTAACGGGTATGTTCCACTTCAGTCCGGATCTATTTCGATTCTAGTTCTGTGGTAGTTTGGCTTAAGTTCGATTCAAGCCGATAGACGTTCGACGCATTATCGACGCATGAGTGGAGCGAGTTGCGCCAGGAAGGTCCTTAGGACGAGAATAATTGCGCTTGCTTGTCCAGCTGGCGTATCGCAACAACCTGCCTTGATCAGGTCATGCCGTTAGGAGGCCAGGGCCTAGGGGTAGAGGCAGTATTGGTATTGGCTCCTGGCCTGCGATCTGCGCCTCCCAGAGTGGCTCGCCCATGTTCCTAAGAACTCTGAGGCCGCGGTCGCAGTCTCCAGATGCAAGACTCCCGTCTTGGTGTGGGCCCCGGTTTGTTTGGAAGCGTGTGCCCAAGCGAACAAGTTTCAGCAGCAGTAAGGTGACAGAGTGGCGCCCATCTTTGTCTCTGTCTCGCGCCGCTTGTTCTGGCCCACCACGCTTCGGCGCGACATGCGAATCACGTCCAGATGCCTGGGCGCCGACGCTGGCAGTTTTTCCCAGCCTCCCGCCCCGGGGAGGGAGCGGAGCGACACCTTCCCTGCCCAGGCCTTGCCATACAGAGGCCAGGGTGTATTCCTTTCAATTCCCGTCCACTGTCTCCCCGATGTGTCTTACAGCATGTGCTTTCGACTGCGCTGTCGGCGCGTAGGCATTTTGCCGCAAGCGTGCGTGAGCACTCGGGGAGCAGGCCTTGGGGCGCCCCAGGTGCTGCAATGGCCCATCCGCGCGCATTCACTGATGGCCGCAGGCGGCGCGGCGCTTCAGGCACCCTGGCCGTGCTTGCAGCTGCCGCCGCGTTGGTGGCGTGCTACAGTGGCGCCCAGAGGGGGAGCATATGCCGATCCCGCTGCTCGTCCTGGAGAGCCCTCGCCTCCACGGCTGGCTTCTCGTCGAAATTCTGGTCAGCACGCACCTCCGGAGGGTCCGGGTGGTAGCAGTATCGGTACCCTTTGTGGGCCCCGGAAACGGCAGGGCCGTTTTTTCACCGATTCCCACAAAATTGTATCTTGAAAAACGGCGACGCGAAACGGCAACAAAAACGGCTTCAGGATGGGAACCGGAGCCGGAACCGGTCAAAAAATGGCGACGGAACCGGTAAAAAAGCGGCGTCGGAACCGGCAACAAAAACGGCAAAACAGAACCGGTAAACAAACGGCCCTGTCGTTCCCAGGGCTCACTAAGTCGGTACCTGCACGCTCCCCCAGGTGCCGGGGTCTCTGCCTGGGCCCAGGCTTCCGCCGAGGCAGCCAGCCGCCGCGCGCTGCTCGGAGGCGCCATGCTCTGGGCTGCGGTTCCAGGGGCCTCTGGTGCCGCGGGGGAGAAGGTCGTGGTTCTTGGCGGCTCTGGCTTTGTCGGCCGCCGCGTGTGCGAGAGGCTGGCGGAGGGCGGCGCGGCGGTCACGAGCATCAGCCGGTCTGGCTCGCCCCCACCTGGCGCGGGCGCGTGGGCCGCCAAGGTGACGTGGCTCAAGGGAGATGCGACCTCGATGGACCTAGGCCCTGCCTTCGCGGGGGCGGACGCGGTCGTCTCTGCGATCGGCGCGATCGGGTCTGCAGACGACGAGACCACCAACGGGCTCACGGCCGAGCGCGCGGCGGCGGCTGCCGCGGCCGCGAAGGTCGGGCGTTTCGTGCTCGTCTCTGCAACGCAGCTCGTGGCGGATGCAGGGATGGGTAGCGTGTTTCCCGGCTATGTGGCCGGCAAGCGGCGCGCCGAGGCCGCGGTGGCATCGTTTCCAGGTCAGACGTTGGTGCTCCAACCGACGTTTATCGAAGACGCCTACGGCGAACCACCGCCGCCCCCTGCCTTTTTGGAAGCGCCTATGTGGCCGAACGTTGAGGCCAGACCTGCCAAGCCATCGGACCATGTGTTCCCCGAATCGGTTTGGAAAGCATTCGGGGAACACGTGGGCATCTTGAAGGTCATCTTGGCCGTCTTGGAGGCCTCTTGGGTGATCTTTCGGCCATCTTTGGGGGCTCTTGGGCCGTCTCGGGCCGTCGGAAGGCCGACACGAAGGGGATGCCTCTTGGGCCGTCTAGGGCCAGCTTCGAGCTAACTTCGGCCATCTTGGTGGGTTCCTGGCACGTCTGACGCCGTCGAGAGCCGTCTTGGGGGCCTTTCTGGGCCAACGGGGGACCCTCTTGGGGCGCTTCGGGACCGTCTTGGAGGCCATCTTGGGCGTCTTGGAGGCCATCTTGGGCGTGTTGGAGGTCTCTTGGGCCGTCTTGGGGCCCTCCTGGGGCCATCTTGGAGGCCACTTGGGCCGTCATGGGGCCCTCTTGGGGGCCTCTTGGGCGATCTTGGGGGTCTCTTGGGCCGTCTTGAGCCGTCGGAATGCCGAGAAGAAGCACATTTCAAAATCCTTCAAACATTTACGCAAAAACAGTGATTTTGGCATCTTCGGGCCCTCCTGGAGGACCTCTTGGAGGCCTCTTGGACCGTCTTGGAGGCCTCTGGGGGGCCTCTTGGGCCGTCTCGGGCCGTCTTGGACTCTGTTGGGCCGTCTTGGAGGCCGTCTTGGACCATCTTGGGCGGACTTGGAGGCCATCTTGGGCCATCTTCGCGAATTTGTGAGGATGTCCCGAGCGAAACTGCCGTTTCAGGGAGGATTGTTTCCAGAGTTTGCGCACGTGGAAGGGCCTCCCGGGACCCCGGCGGGACGGGCCGAAGCGCCAGGGGGAGTTCTTTTGGAAAAGCAACGAAAACCAGAACCGAAAAGATCCAGCACGCCAGGCACCCCTGCGATGAATCGACAGGGGGCGGCGGATTCAATAGCCTACGGCCCATCCCGTCACCGTCCCTGGGCTACGGCTCAGAGGCCTCTCGGATGCATACAGGGTCTCTTGAGATGCCTCTCGAGGGACTCTTGGAGGGCTCTTGGGGGCTTCTGGAGGGCTCTTCGGGGCGTCTTAGGACGTCTTGGGGGCCTCGTAGGGGCCTCTTGGGGCATCTGGAAGGGGCCTCTGGAGCCTCAGAGGGGGCCTTGGGCTGGAAGGCTTTGAAGTGTCTGATCTTTGGCCTCTCTTGGCCTCTTGGGCCTTCCTGGGGCCATCTCGGGCGCCTTGAACGCTCCTGGGCCGTCTTGGGGCGCTCTTGGACCCTGTCGGGCGCCCCAGACGAAGTATTTGGTTTGTTTCGGGTCCTTTGGGACGGGGTCACCGCCCCAGAGGCCCACGCGCAACGGCCGGGGCGCGGCTGGTAGCGCCCAGAATCGCACGGGAGTGGAGGGTTTGGGCTCATCAGAACTCTGGAAACAGTCTCCCTTGCAGCTGCATGGGCCTCGGGGCACTGCACTACGTGCTGAAGGCACGGTGGCGGATTTTCGGCGGCGAAGAATTCAGCGCGACCCCTCCGAGGGTTGCTGAGTGGTACGGGCAGCAGGTCGAGAACGTGCTAGGCAGTGGCCTCGTGCGTGGGATCGCATCGTTTTCCCCCGCTGCTTTGAAGCTGGCCCTTCTTCCCCCGAACTCAGTCTCCGATGTCGCAACAGCCGCCGTTGCTGGAGCGCAGGGCAAAGCGACGGGGACACTTTCGAGCCACGATGCGATCCAAGCAGCAGCTAGGTTGGTCTAGTGCAGGTCGCGCACTTCCTGCAGCAGAACGGGAGGACGGAGCCAGATGTGCTCTGCGACAAGCAAGTTGCTGCAAACTTTGGGGGAACAAAAAGTGGCATAAACATAAACACTCGGAGGTCCGCGCGGATTTCTCGGATCGGCGTTGGGGCCCCCCGGCGGCGCCTCCGGCGCCGCCCCTGGCGCGCTCCGCGCGCCAGGGAGGGGGGTCCAGCGCCGATCCGAGAAATCCGAGCGGACCTCCGAGTTTTTCTGTTTATGCCACTTTTTTTGTTCCCCTCAAAATTCACCACCCACCAAACCACCCCAACCCAACCCGAAGGCTCAGATTTACCCTCGATTTCTAGTGGGGGGGGGTCCGGGAACATCGAAAAAACACATGTGGAGCCCATACCCCCCCCAACCCGAAATTCGGGTCTTCGGGTTGGGTTGGGGTGGTTTGGTAGGTAGTCAAAAATGCCTGTCGTCCGCTCTAATTGCAGGCTTTATATGCAGCCAGAGTTCGTTACGTCGGCGCGGCGCTCGCTCCCGTCTTCGACCCTGCCCGGCAGCGGGTCCTCGCCCTCGTTTTCTTCGGGGCCTCGGCCTCCCAGACGTCACTTGGTCTCCCGATCGCAGGGGAGCGCAAAAAGCTACACGAAGGAGACCTCGCAGTCCTCTGGATTCGACAGGCGGACGCGCCTGATGTCTCCAAATCGATTCTTGTGACTACCAGCACTGTGGCCACCCCACAACCCGAGTTAAGTACAGAAAACCGACAGCACCTCTCAAGATGACTCGAACAATACGAATAGTTTCGCGATTCTAGAGCAGCCCACTTGATCCCACTCCCTTCGCCGGCCCCCCATGGAGAACGAGGGACGGGGTGTAGTTCCTTCCCGGCAGGCCTTCCCCGTGCTGTCCACTTCCGCATTTGTTGATTTCATGACGTCGACTCGTGCCAGCTTCGCTGTCACAACTTGTCCATATGGGTGCTGCTCTCATTTCTACATGTGGGTGCTACCCTCTGAAACAGAAGGAGCTCAAAAGTCATAAACTTGGCTTCAAGGCACGTGTGAACGAATCCGTATCCTGAACCCGTAGCCCGTGTCCTGTGGTGTTTTGTACGGTCTCCCTTGTGGTTTCTCGTGCAGTCTCTGGTCTCTGCCTTGTGATATCCCGTCTGTTTTTCGTTGTACGCTTTTCAGTGCGGTCTTTCATATGTGCAGTACAGAAGCCATTTTCTCTATTATCGTCTATGTCGTTGTATGGACTTCTGCCACCAGGGTGCACTCATGTTACCCAGTTATGGCGCTTGTTGTTTCTTACACACATCATGGCCTCGAGCTTGCTCTCGAGGTTTCCCCCAACAGTGCTTGCACTTAGGCTTTCTCGTTTCTCCTCTAGAGAACTGGGTTTGTTTGCCGGTCTGGCGGCTATGGCGTCGCCGTCGCATCCCTGTCGCCGCCTCGCCGCCGCCCGTCGCCGCCCGGCGTCTGTGCCTGTCTGCCCGCGTTGGCGGCTATGCATGTTGCCGCTGCCGCCGCCCTGTCGCCGCCTTGTCGCCCCCCGGCGTGCGTGCCTGTCTGAGTCTGCCAGTATGGTTGCCGTGTTGTCGCCGCCGCCTTCCCGCCGTCGCCCCGTTGCCGCCCGTCGTCTGGGCCTGTCTGCCCGTCTGGCGGCTATGTCGTGGCCGTCGCCGCCCGTCGCCGCCTCGTCGCCGCCCCAACGTCGCCCTGTCGCCGCCTAGATTGCACAACGTAGATTGCACCACACACGTTGTATCACATAGATCCAACCACGTCGATTCTCCTTTTTTAAAGGAAGAATAGACTTTACCCCCCCCTTGAGTTAACGACCCCCCCTGGGGTATTGTGATTTCATATGTATTCTACACGTTCGTCCATCCTAAACATGAGTTCATACCATTCATCTGCAACAAATGCTCCCCCCCGCCATCTTCTGCAAAAAACACTATACGCGCTCTCTCGCTTATAAAAAATCACGCGCTTGCAAGAATCCCCTGCAACAGTTAGACGAAGTGCACACGCGCGCGTCGTCGCGCGCGCATGCCGAAATCCTTCAAGAACCTTCGGTTTCGGAAGGATTCCCAAATCGAGTTCCAAAAAAAAAAACATACAAAAACACATTGCTTCGCAACACTGATTTCTAAAAAAGGTTACGCGCGCGCTCTTGCGAAATCTGAAGAGATCCATGTTTTTGTTTCAACATGTTCGAAACATTCTACCAAACGGGCTTCGCGCGCGCGCATGTCGAAATCTTTCGAGCGCCCTTGCGCGCGTGCCGTCGCGAGAACCTTCTGCAAAACATGGGACGAAGTGCAGACGCGCGCGTCGTCGCGCGGGCATGCCGAAATCCGTCAAACACCTTAGGTTTCGGAAGGATTCCAAAATCGTGTGTCCCAAAAACATACAAGAACACAAAGTTTCGCCACACGGATTTTCAACAAACGCGTGCGCGCGCGCTCTTGCGTCGTCGTCGTCGTCGTCGCCGTCCTCCCTCCTCCCTCGTCGTCGTCGTCGTCGCCGTCGTCGTCCTCTGTCTTTCCTCGTCGTCGTCGTCTTGTCGTCGTCGTTTCCGTCGTCGGTGTCGCCGTAGTCGTCCTTCCTCCCTCGTCGTCTCCGTCGGCGTTCCGTCGTTGTCCCTCCTATTTCGTCGCCGTCGTAGTCGTCGTCGTCTTCCCTCCTCCCTCGTCGTTGTCGTCGTCGCCGTCCTCGTCCTCCCTCCTCCCTCGTCGTCGTCGTCTTCGTTGGCGACGTCGTCGTTGTCGTCGTCGGCGTCCGCGTCGTCGTCACGGGCGGCGTCGTCGTCGTCGTCGGCATTGTCATCGTCGTCGTCGTCAGCGTCGGCGTCGTCGTCGTCGGTGTTGTCGTCGTCGTCGTCGTCGTCGTCGGCGTCGTCGTCGGCGTCGTCGTCGGCGGCGGCGTCGTCGTCGTCGGCATTGTCATCGTCGTCGTCGTCGTCAGCGTCGGCGTTCTCGTCGTCGTCGTCGGTGTTGTCGTCGTCCTCGTTGTCGTCGTCGAAGTCGTTGAAGACGTCGTCGGTGTCGTCGTAGTCGTTGTCGGCGGCGTCGTCGTCGTCGTCGTTGTCGCTATCGTCGTCGGCGTCGGTGTCGTTGCCAAGTGCCATTTGGTACCCACCGTCACGGTCTTAAGAGGTCTTGCGACCAAATTGCGGGTGGGAGGGTGGGGTGTTTGCACGAGCAGTGGAGGACAGCTTCAAATTGAGCAACTGATTGATTGTACCACGTAGATTTTCTTGCCTAGAAGAAGAGTCTGTGTTTCTACCCCGACCCCCCGGGGGTATCGACCGCAAGTGGGACGGATCCCAACTGATTTGTCCCAAGTCCAACCGTTCGGAGTGGATTGCAGCTCAAAGTGGTCCCAACCCCAACTACTTCAGACATCCTACGAGAGCTTCAGAGATTTCACAAGATCTTGCAAGGTCTTGAAAGATTTTGGGATATCCTGGGCAGACCTCAGCAATCCTGACCGCCGGAATCCGGTGGAGTCCTGAGAGATCCTCAGGCAACTTGACCTCAGGAATCCGGGGGAATCCTGAGAGATCCTCAGGAATCCTGACCTCAGGAAACCTGAGAGAGATCTTCTAGGATCCTGAGAGATATTTTTCGTCGTCGTCGTCCCTCCCTCGTCGTCGTTCTCCCCCCTCGTCGCTCTCGTCTTCTCCGCCCACAGGCAAAGCGGTGTGCCTGGGGGGGGCTGGAGGAGGAGGAGGAGGAGGAGGAGGAGGAGGAGGAGGACGAGAAGGAGGCCGAGGAGGACGAGGTAGCACGGCACGTCGTACAAAGTGCGTGTTTGGTGCAGTATGGGAAACAACATATGAGTATTCATACGTGTTTTCATCGGAAACGTTACGAACAGCAGTAAATGCATAATATCAAACCTTAGCGTTTCCCGAGAAGGGGCATTGCCCTGCGTGTTTTTTTCGCAAATGGAGTGTATGCATGTATGACGTATGACGTTGCAACCCTTATTATATTTCCATGCGTACATACACCGCAAACGCATATGGATATATACAACTATATTTTTATATAGTTGTATATACATTTTCAATGTAGGTATACATATCTCAGAGTAGGGGGCGGGCTAGTGAATGTACCCCCCATGGGCGCATGCATATGCATATATATATATAGACACACATACATATATATATATACACTTATGTGTATGTATATATATATATACATGTATATACCCGTAAGGGTTTCGCCCCCATGCCGCCGGCCCACCTCTCTTAGAATGGGACTTGCCAAAGCTGTGTTGGGACTTCACGCGAGGGCCAATATTGATTCACTAGGGTTTCTGGTTTCGGTGACGCGAATCGTAGGTAATTTCATGAGGCGCAGGCCATGATACACTTGCATAGGCACTCGTCAGTGCTGTTGATCCGCGCTTTGGGGGATCAGACCAACACGCGCAGAAGGTGAGGCGATTACCCTAAATGAGCACGAATGTACCATGCCGGAATCATGTTTGTGACTTCCTAGGAGGTGTCGCACATGGGCTACTGCCGTTCTATCTTGTTCGTTGTCTTAGCGATTTGCTCGCATGCTTGGCCCAGTAGCATACGGATTTATGGAGATGATCGACGTGTGCTTGCACCTGTTCAGGCACGTTTCGCGAGATCCAGGGCAATGTTCGTGCAAGTGCTAGTGTATCCATGCAACTCCAGTGTCTCCCCCAGGGCGTCTGCAGGGAAAGGAGGTGGAGGGGGCAAGCATGTGAGGACCCATCTAGGGGAACGTACAATGACATAAACATCAAAACTCGGAGGTCCGCGCGAATTTCTTGGATCCGCG